AACCCACTCCCATGATGACTAACCCACTCCCATGATCACTAACCCACTCCCATGATCACCAACCCGCTCTCATGATCACTAACCCGCTCCCATGATCACTAACCCACTCCCATGATCACTAACCCACTCCCATGATCACTAACCCGCACCCATGATCACTAACCCACTCTCATGCTAACTAACCCACTCCCATGCTAACTAACCCACTTCCATGATCATTAACCCGCTCTCATTATCATTAACCCACTCTCATGCTAACTAACCCACTTCCAGGATAACTAACCCACTCCCATGATCACTAACCTGCTCTCATGATAACTAACCCACTCCCATGATAACTAACCCACTCCCATGATCACTAACCCACTCCCATGATAACTAACCCACTCCCATGATCATTAACCCACTCTTATGATCACGAATCCACTCCCATGATCACTAACCCACTCTCATGCTAACTAACCCACTCCCATGATCACTAACCCACTCCCATGGTGACTAACCCACTCCCATGATCACTAACTCGCACCCATGATCACTAACCCACTCTCATGATCACTAACCTGCACCCATGATCACTAACCCACTCCCATGATCACTAACCCACTCCCATGATCACTAACCCACTCCCATGATGACTAACCCACTTCCATGATCATTAACCCACTCTCATGATCACAAACCCACTCCCATGAGGACAACCATCCCATTGATCACTAACTGCACCCATGATCACTAACCCACTCCCATGATGACTAACCCACTTCCATGATCATTAACCCACTCTCATGATCACAAACCCACTCCCATGATGACTAACCCACTCCCATGATCACTAACCCGCACCCATGATCACAAACCCACTCCCATGATCACTAACTCACTCCCATGATAACTAACCCACTCCCATGATCATTAACCCTCTCCCATGATCATTAACCCACTGCCATGATAACTAACCCACTATCATGATAACTAACCCACTCTCATGATAGCTAACCCATTCGCATGCTAACTAACCCACTCCCATGATCACTAACCCACTCCCATGATCACTAACCCACTCCCATGATCGCGAACCTGCACCCATGATCACGAACCCACTCTCGAGGTAAGAGTATTCATACATTCATGAAGCGAGAGCCCTCATGGCCTAATCATCTCTTAAAGGTCCCGCCTCTCAATGCTGTTGCATTGGGGATCAAGTTTCAAACACATGAACTTTGAGGGACGTCTTCAGACTACAGCACCCATCCACTTGGATGTTTGTAAGTAGTGACTGCAAATAAATGTCGATGGATCCACATAAAAGCCCCGACAGAGAAACTGAGTCTTTGTCCACCTCTGTCTTTAGGAAGGAAATGCGGAAAGGGAGCAGCCACCTTAATACTTTGGGGATGAAGAAGCCATTTATTCATTTTCTACCTTTTTTTTTTTTTTTTTTTTTTTTTTTTTTTTTTTTTTTTTTTTGAGACGGAGTCTCGCTCTGTCACCCAGGCTGGAGTGCAGTGGCGGCTTCTCGACTCACTGCAAGCTCTGCCTCCCAGGTTCAGGCCATTCTCCTGCCTCAGCCTGCCAAGTAGCTGGGACTACAGGCGCCCGCCACCACGCCTGGCTAATTTTTTGTATTTTTAGTAGACACGGGGTTTCACCGTGTTAACCAGAATGGTCTCAATCTCCTGATCTCGTGATCTGCCTGCCTCGGCCTCCCAAAGTGCTGGGATTACAGGCATGAGCCACCGCGCCCGGCCTTCATTTTCCATCCTTTCAATGAGCATTTAAGGAATGGCCAGTGCGTCCTTGGGGATTGAAAGGCAGGGGCCATGCTTGATGCCTGGGGGATGCTGAGACTCAGAGAAGACTCTCCGTGAGCATCTCTTGGTGTGGACCAGGACACGCTGCAATCCTCAGCAGCAGTTCAGTTGGTCACAACATGATGCGACTCCTTCTATGTCCTCATCTCACTTCCCAAAATAGAATTCAAGACAGGAACTGACTGGTTGGGACCAACTGGACGATGTCCACTGTGGCCACCTACCCACAGCATCCCATCTTGGTGAAGATGAGAAGGCAGAGGAGGGACAGGCAAACTCCGGGGCCAGAGCTCACGAACTGGGAGCTTCCACGCCTTGCCAGTCCCTCTTTTCCACATTGAGGACACAATCGGCGGTTCCAGTTACTATTTGTGGTTGCTACAAAGGAGTATTTTAGATTAAAAAGGAAACATTTGTCAGCAGGCTTTGGAGCCACAATTCCCTATTAGTGGTTGATTTCATACAACCAGAGTGTCACAGGACTACCGTGGCCACAGATCTTGGATTTTCAGGGATAAGTCCCAGTCGCCCATCTCTATTCTTTTAAGCAAAGGTGATTTATCACATGGATGACTTAAATTTGGGCCCTTGTAAGACTCTTTGTATAAATGCATTTAAACATCAGGGAGAATGCTGGCAGAACACCGGCTTCGATACTGTATTTAAAAGGGTGATCTCTGCATGGCCTTGACAGACAGCACTTTGCAAAGGAGTCCATCAAATAAACATCATTTGGATAATGTCGCAATCTCTGGACAAATCTGGAAACCCACTGGGGCAGCAAAGAATTAGGCTCTAGAGTCACCTGTCTGGAGAGAAAGCTCCTTGGTCATCTCAAGTAGGTCTTGCCTGAAAGTGTTTGGGGCCATCTATGAGAGTGCTTCATCCTCAGGGCTTCGAAATGGAGTAAATGTTTCAAAAACGGGAATGAAATCAGCTTCTCCATCTTGCTCTCACGACAGCGCCTGATGGATGTTTCCCTCCAGAATCAATAGAAGTTTATTTAGAGATTTGGGAGAGAGTCTGGGGGAAGGGGAGCCGTGCAAACAAATATTCCCCCAGCTGGCTTCCCTGACGTTGAGATCTGTAAATAATATTCTGCAATAACAGAAGTTATGAACCAACAGTTCTCATGGAGAGGAGAAAATAATGGCAAATAAAAGCGCTCATGCCCAGAACATAAACCATCGTTCCTCCTGAGACTGACAAATGGAAACACTTACCTCGGCCACCAAGGGGAGCCGTAAGGGATCAGGTGGGGGTGGGGCAGAACCGGGGGAGACCAGCTCAGCCCCCAGCCTGGGTCGTCAATCCATTTGTCAGCTGAGCCCATCATGTATGCACCAGAGGGTACTTAATTGCTCATAAAAATGATTTGCTGGGTGTTTCGTTTTTTTAATAAACTATGGGGGTGGAGAAAACATGAAGCTCCATGGAGCACTGGCTTTTTACCTTTCAAATTCATGAAAACAAGCGCATGGTCAGGAAGGAGAGCCAGGGAAGGAGTTGGGCCGTGAGGATGCTCTGGGGATGGGGAGCAGAGCTCATTTACGGAGAGTGTTTTCCCGCTGGTGGGAGACGGAAGGCCCTGCTGTGATGCTCCGGCACCACCGCCCACCCTGGGATGCCCAAACTTCTACTTCCACATCCATTCTCCCTGGCGACTCGTCCATGCATAAGCCTGTCCTGTGGCTATTGACCAGGTGCCTCCCCTGCTTAAGAGGTAGGAGGCTGGTTACCCAAGGACATTGGCAAGAGGGTGGGATCGGGGGCTGCAGATGCCCCCTGTGCCCTTCTCCTCGAATCTGCCCTTGACACGTCCAGGAATCACAAGGCCGGAGCACAAGGCTAGGGGAGGACTCTGCAGGCGGGACCCTCATCTGTCTTGCACACGACTTCCTCCCCCAGTACACTGCACAATCCTGGACATAGTAGGTGCTCAATAAATAATGCGCCCAGGGTAACAGACCCCCATGAAGCAGCCACTTTCCTCTGAGGGAAATCACACTAAGCATTTATTAAACAAATAGCAGAATTCTGGGACAGCCCCCAGCCTTCAAACAGCGGTCCCTCTAATCCACCCCCCACCAGGCTCCACCTGCCCCAGACCTGCCCCAGACCTCCTCTTCCCTCCCTCCTGGCCGGAGGCTTCCCTGAGGAGAGACCAGCCAGCCCAAACATGTCACCATACACAAGCCTGCCGCCCGCTGCCCCGGTGTGATTACTTCTCCTCGTCCCTTCTCCGGGCTGCAGAGCCCATGCTGAGCAGCCACTGGGCAGAAATGTCAGCTCCTAAATCAAAGACATACATCACCGCCGCCCAAATTAACACTTTTTATGGAGCCGTAAATGATTTTATGATAAATAGGCGCTGAGGGTTATGAATCAGGTTATGCAACCGCCGTCTTACCCCTCAGCCCTGATCCCCGTGGCTTTCAATTGAGCGGCGATACAGGGGGTGCGGAATGACATTTAGTTACATTAAATTGCAAGCATGCCTTTTCCCCTCGCTGTTTTCCCCACATAAAATGAGGATGAATGCCCCTTCAGCAGCTCCGAGGCCTTTTTCAGCCGCAGGAACGGACTCGGCGCCCCGGGTCGCTGTGAGTGATTCATGAGGCCCGGCCCCCATCTCAGGGAGGCCTGAAGGCCACATCTGGGCAGAGATGGGCTAAGTAGGCTGCTCATTAGCCGAACCCTGATAACAAAAGAGGAAAATGGTGCCTGGAAGCCGTGGACCCCCCCCGAGCAGGCTCAGAGAGCGGGGAGAATCTCACCGAGAGCTCTGTGGACCAGATCTTCCCTTGCACTCAGGCTCAACTATGGACGTGGCTTTTCAGAAGATCCCGTTGTTAGACCACAGGTCAGCTTCTCTCCTTTCCTGAGATCTGAGGGATCATTCCATTTCCGCCCTGAGAAAGCAGGAAGCCTCCCGCCATCCTGGTCAGAAGATAAAATTTTAACTTGGGGAGTGAGGGAGGAGAACACTTTTTAAAGATTTACAAAAACTCAGTGAAAGGTAAGTCTTTCGAGTGGATGAGACGTTAAGGATGGAGAAGGTGGGAAAAGGGTTACATGGCTGAAATGGAGAGGAGAGAAAACATTTCCGCATCCCATCACTGTCCCCACTGCCTAAAAACACAATTCCCACCTGGTTCCAAGCACCTGGGCAGGATCCGTCTTTCAGTGTCGTGTAGCTTCTAGAACAGTAAATGAAGTCAGACGTCTTCTCTCACTCTTTTTCATCCTCACCTTTCTCCCCACACATATCAAGAAAAAATACCTCCTTGGTTGTGCAGTCCTGAAGAACATTCGGCTGTTTCACTGAAACGCTCATCTCTGCTGATAACATTTCACATCCATCTAGGCCCTGGGCATCAGGGAACGAGGCCCACTGCGGGTTGTGTGGTAGGGAGAGCTGAGAGGTAACTACCTGGAGGAATCGATGAGCCCCAGTGCTCAGCTCTGGAGGGCAGGGGACTTCCCCAGGCTGGGAGATCAGAGGACACCTCACACATAGGTTTTCCAGCACCTGTTCTAACCTCTGATAGGCCACAGTATATTTCGGAAACAGGTACAATAAATGGGGGTGCCAGAAGCAACAGATCATCTCTGAGGCTCAGAAACAAAAACAAATTCATCTTTTTGGAAAGGAACTCAGAGCTTGGAGTCTGTTCCTTGAACCTCATTCCTGGTCTAAGCCTCTCTCTTCCTCGATGCCGGAAAAACGTTATACTCAGCTGGACACTGCTTGGAACTGAACTGAAGGAACGACTGTGATAAATGTGGGCAATGCTGAGATTAAGCAGAAGTCGAGAATGAGGACCCAACACACACCCCGTTCTTGATGGGAACTGAGCCTCTGGCTCGGCCACCAACGCCGGCCTTGCTGACATAATACCTCGTATGGCAGTGGGCATGCAGGAAGCTTCTAGGTTCTTTCACCATCACCAATAGACGTTTATTGCACACTTATGACGTGCTCCTCATGTACGTAACAGAGAAAAAGAAAAGCAACATGTCACTGGAGAGCTGGACTTCAGAGACCCCTGGAGAATCCAGCGGCTGTGTGTGGCCTGTTTTGAGGGGCAGCCTTTGGCAGGATGGTAGAAACTTGAGATACATAAACAGACCCATACTTGAGGCAGCATCTCCATCCCAGTTCTGCCTGGCACCAGCTCTGCACACAAAAAAGTTTTAACCCAAAACCTCAAAAAGAGGCCACTGTATAGACAAAAGCCACATACTGGTTCTGCAGGTCTCAGTTCCCCTACTACGAAACAGGCCACATGAAAACAGAGGATGCCAGAAGCGAGGAGAGTCCCTCCGGGGGGACATGGATGGTCAGGTTTTCACCCATGACACCTGCAGCCAGGAAGATGGTAGGAAGCACCATTGCTCCAGACCAGCCTTGTCCTCAAATTACCTCACTTGCATCCCGGCCACCTGGACCACCTGCCAAAAGTCAAACTTCCGTGGACCTGACCTGGCCTTTCAGAATCAGGGTCACTGGGGCTGAGTCCTAGGAACCTGCCATTTGAGGTTCCCAAATGAATCTTCTGCAAGCTCAAGTTTGAGAAACCCAGTCTCTCATTCCTGTGGC